TAAGGTACCGGTCAAAAAATAGAAAAAATAGAGAGACCTGAGGTTTGAATGCATATTACAGGTAATTTTATAGCTAGAATATTTTATGGGTGCATTTGGAGGGAATTTGTGGTCTTGTATATTTTATTGAAATATGACACTTTAGTGTAACTACTACTGTATATGGGATATGGACTAGAAATACAAAACTATGCTCAAAACTCGCTCAACCGGTATTTCACCAGAAAAGCGGGGTGGGTTCACAGGATGAATTGTAGCTTGAACACGAGGTAGTTGAACCATTATCTCTTGCTGTTCATTGGTATGTACAAATGTTATTCTACAATTTGTGTGGTAGCTAAGGTCAGGAGCACGGGTCTGGAAGAAGATGCGGCTGCGGCGAAATAGTGAAAATAGGCTTGATCACATGAAATTTTGAGATTGTCCCTGCGCCATCTTTAGGGCTCATTGTGTAAGTTGTACATGTTTTATTCCTAAAAGCTTCAAATTTCTCAAGGGACTACATAATACTATTATTACATGTGGAGGAAATTAAAAATTTTTCAATACACATTATTAAAGCAGCTCAATATTAAGTCAACCGTCAGTCAAACGTTTTGATTGCAAAAAAATACTATCCTCTGCCACCTTCTTCCGGTGACCGTTCACGGTTAGATCGTGCGCCGTGTTACTCGAAGTTTATAATGTAAATCTGTGTTTAGAGAAAAGAATGGGTTTTTTTTCTATTGAAATTTTAGAAATATTTCTCTTGTAAGAAGGATATGGAAATAACGAACAGTATTCAATATCAACGTCCATTAAACAATATACAAAATAAGAGCAGAGCAAACACGGACCTCCGAAACATCAGAGGTGGGATTTTATATCGTATTTCGATTTTGTAATTTATTCTGAAATATGAATGAACCTTTGCTCGAATCTGATTGGCTGTAGGATACAGGAAAGGATAGGATAGGATTAACTTCTATATGTTTCTATCGTGAATCCGCAATCCTGAATCCTATCCGATCCCATCCCATGTCAACTTGTGGGATAGCAGCACTGTTATTATGCTAAGGGTTAAAATTTATTTCCGAAACAAGTACATGTGCTCCCAGAATAGACCCGAGAAGATGAGATTTAAAGCACATAATGAAACGCTTTCTAACACTTTCAGTGTTGGTGTCTCGAATCGAAATAAGCCTTCATTTTGATAACTTCAGCATGTTCTATGAATTATGTTACACTAGAGTTGTCTAAACTCTCAATTTCAACAAAAGTTATAGCTATAGATAATAATAACAGTGGGACGGACAACTTCGGAATGGACATTTTTCCAAACTTGCGCACCCTTTTCCTTTAAAGCTATCATCTTAGGTTTTTTTTTAATGGTGGGGTTTTTAAAATTAAATTGATTTATGAAAAAAAAAATTCAACATTTTCTGCACGTTTTTGAGATATTTGAGTTAAAAAAAAACCCATGGGGAAACATGAACTTAAAAAGACCCCACAAAAAAACCCACAAAAACCTAATGGGGTTTAATTTTCACCCATGGGGGAAATAACCCCACGAAAATCAATGTAGGTTTTTTAAACCCATATGTTGCTTATATTGTAATATGGGGTTTTTTCTCCCACGTTTCTTTATTATGGGGTTTTAAATCCCATGTATCGATATATTTACTGTAAGATAATTCCTAAAAAACTTGGTTTTTTTTCTTAGACTAATGGATCATTAGTATCTTCTCTGTTTCTCATTCTATAAAAGTGGATAGTTATAACAAATATCTATTATTTTTTAAATTTTCAAGTATTCATTCTTCAAATTTTTGCTTATGTAAAAGAAGATTTATATGAAAACAGGTTTCTAAGGCAGTTGCCTTCCATAATGAAACATTCATCATAAAACTCTTCACAGGTTATTTGATCGATGACAATAAATCTGATTTTAAAAAAATGAAACAAGAAAATTTTATACCAACACAATATACACAATAGAAATCAATTCACAGTGTCCAAAGAGTTTTCTTTCCTTAACTAATATATATTTATATATGTTAGGTTTATATGATGTCTAGTTTGTGGATTTTTTTTTAAATCTCCATTTCCCTTGCATTCACCACAAATAAGATTGGATTTATTTAATTCATGTGCAATATATCTAAATATTTAATTAATGGAACTCATTCGGTTATATATCACAAAGTACAGCTATTAAAATCTTTTGATTCAACCAAATATTTAAAAATAAAATATTAATGCCTCTTGCATCCACCACTTATGAGTTTAGATCATGACCACACATGACATATAAGCTTAATGTTTAAAATCAATCAGCCATAATCATTAATATCCTTGATACACCACAAATATTTCTTTAAAAAATGAATATCCACTCCCCATGGATCCACCACTAATAAGTTAAGATCTTGATCACACATAACATATAAGATTAAAGTTTTAAATAAATTAGCCATAATCATTATTATCCTTTTACCAACCACAAATATTTAAAAATAATATCCGCTCCCCTTACATCCACCACTTTTAAATTAAGATCATGTTCACACATGACATATAACTTAAATGTTTGAAATAAATTAGCCATAATCAAAAATCATTAATATCCTTTGATCATTCACAAATATTTAAAAAAAGATTATTATCCACCCCCTTGGATCCACCACTTATGAGTTTTGATCTTGATCACACATGACATATAAGTTTAATGTTTGAAATCAATTAGCCGGAATCAGTAATGTCCTTTTACCCATCACAAATATTTAAAAGTAATATTCACTTGCCTTGGATCAACCACTTTAAAATTAAGATCACGAGCTAAATGTTTGAAATAAATTACCCTAACAAAAAAAACACTATAGTAAACTTTAGTTAATTAGGGTCTTTCGTCTCCTACGGAAGATCCTTCTATTATTCTATTGTTTCTTTTTCACTATTATTATTATTTTTTTAGCTCATCTGAGCCGAAGGCTCAAGTGAGCTTTTCTGATCACATTTTGTCCGTCGTCCGTCCGTCTGTCTGTCCGTCTGTAAACTTTTCACATTTTCAACTTCTTCTCAAGAACCACTGGGCCATTAAAACTGAAACTTATGTGGAAGCATCCTGGGGTAGTGTAGATTCTAAATTGTTCAAATCATGACCCTCCGGGGAAGGGCGGGGCCACAAAAGGGAATCAAAGTTTTACATAGAAATATATAGGAAAAATCTTTGAAAATCTTCTTCTCAAGAACCACTGGGCCAGAAAAACTGAAACTTATGTGGAAGTATCCTGGTATAATGTAGATTCTAAATTGTTCAAAGAATGACCCCCAGGGGAAGGGTGGGGCCACAGTGGGGAATCAAAGTTTTACATAGAAATATATAGGAAAAATCTTTGAAAATTATCTTCTCAAGACCCACTGGGCCAGAAAAGCTGAAACTTATGTGGAAGCATCCTGGTGTAGTGTAGATTCTAAATTATTCAAATCATGACCCCCAGGGGTAGGGCGGGGCCACAATGGGTAATCAAAGTTTTACATAGAAATATATAGGAATAATCTTTAAAAATCTTCTTCTCAAGAACCACTGGGCCAGAAAAGCTGAATCGTACATGGAAGCATCCTAGTATTATGTAGATTCTAAATTGTTGAAATCATGACCCCCGGGGGTAGCGCGGGGCCACAATGAAAAATCAAAATTTACATAGAAATATATAGGAAAAATCTTTGAAATCTTCTCAAGAACCACTGGGCCGTAAAAAGTGAAGCTTTTGTGGAAGCATTATGGGGTAGTGTAAATTCTAAATTGTAGGAATCTTGACCCCCGGGGGAAGGGCGGGGCCATTATAGGGAATCAAAGTTTCACATAGAAATATATAGGAAAAATCTTTGAAAATCTTCTTCTCAGGAACCACTGGGCCAAAAAAGCTGAAACATATGTGCCCATGGAAGTATCATGGGGTAGTGTAGATTTCAAAATGTCTAAATTATGATCAGTGGGGTAGGGTGGGGATGCATTATGTATAACAAGGGGGAAATCTGGTAAAGAACAGAATGGTCAAAGCTTCTCAGGTGAGCGATGTGGCCCTTGGGCCTCTTGTTTTATTTCTGTCGATATTTTGTGCAGACGATTTCTGAGATGCTTGGACGGATTTATATGAAATTTTCATTGTAGTTTACTATAGTAACTCAAAGTTTCAAAGTTTTCGCCATACTAAATCAAAGTTCTAAGGTTTCCACCATAGTAAATCAAAGTTCAAAAGTTTTCGCCATAGTAAATCAAAGTTCCAAAATTATTACTATAGTAAATCAAAGTTACAAAGTTTTTACAATAGTAAATCAAAGTTCCAAAGTTTATACTATAGGTATTCAAAGTTCCAAAGTTTTTACTATAGTGAATTAATAAATTGAAGTTTTTATATGTTTTTTTTTATTAATTGTTTATAATTATTTATCTGTTTTAAAGGTAATGATTTTGGTTTGTTGGGCTGATTTATGATGTTCATCTCAATCTAAATATGCAAAGTATTTAATATGCATGCAATATTTACATTGAACGGTAGAAAAAACATGTTGACTTAAGTTAATAAAGCAAAAAATTTTTATTCTAAATGACGGAATTTTTATCTTAAAGTATTTTTTTCTGCATAAATGATAATAAATATCAACACTGTGCCGGATAATTATGCCACTTCAAAAGTGGCATTTTGGCGCCCGCCAAATTCTCATTTGTTTCTTAATTAGTCTCTGAATAAATAAATTTTTAGGTAATCTATGACCGTCCATGTTTCTTTTTAACCTGTACGTTTTACAATTCATTTACATATTTAACAAGGTTTAGAACGAAGTCGTATTTAAAAGCACATGTATTTAAGAATGTGTGCATCGTAACAAAACATAGTAACTTTATTCATCTGTGAAACAAACTATTCGTGATACATAATGTGTATCCATTCATGTCAACATACATTGTACATGTATATTTTAAAATATATATTTTCTAAATATTTTATTTATTCCAGAATTAATGGAGATGAATTTTTCAATGAAGAAATGGAGCATATTGATATCCACACTTATGTCAGAGAACTATTCCGTATCTTTAAATATCCCTTGGGAGGACAAAAAACAAAATATTCAAAAAACATTTAAAGCATTGCAAGACGTTAACGAGGAAAGAGCTGAAGAAGATTTGGTTCTCCTAGAAAAATTAATACACCATGACAAATTATTAAAAGTAGACAGAGAGAGCAATAAAGTGTCCTTTGTATCAGAGGAGGTCCGACATCAGGTGATGGGATACTTTGTATTGAATTGCTTAGAAAGCAAGGAAGATTACGAGCATTATCAAAATCTGTCCTCAGTGGACTCACTTTTAGAATATGCACGCCCATTGACATACAAGAGAAAGGTGACAGAACGCTGTTTATACCTCCCAAATGGGACGGAACAGTACATCAAAAGACTTGGTGTAGACGTCCTACGGCATACATTTATGGGCAATCTGAATATGGATAATCAAAAATTATCTTCAATGCGTGAGTTTATCATAATCTTTTTTTATATGATACTACATAAATGAACAACACATTTATATCATGGTTTTCAATGATGTTTTATCAATCGGAGTTCCTCTTAACGAAAATAACTATGTTATTCAGACGAGTTGACTGTTTGATTCAGGGTTATTCAACATTATTTAAAATACAGCCGGGTGTTTTGTTTTTGTTTTCTTTTGGAGATTTGGGGGGGGGGGGGGGTATACAATGACCTTTCTTTACAGCACTCAAAAAAATATTATTTAAATGTCCCCCGCTTTTGCGAAGCGAGGGGACATTAAATCTCATTCGTCTATCAGTTTGTCTGTCACAAAAATTTAACCTTGCATTTTACTTTTCATTTAGTGGAGCTATGACTTTCATATTTCACATGTGCACCGTATACAATGGGTAACGCGGGGGAGTCGCTAAAAGGTATGGGGAGAGTAGATTTTCACCGCTTCAGAGTCAGGAGAGATGTGGGTCACGTCTTTTTTCGGTATATGTAAGATGTATTTACAAAAACCAACTAGCCCACGGAAGGTAGCAATAGTTAAGCTTTCTGTTGGTCATTTGTCTGGCTAGTATATCCGTCTAGTTTTCTCAAACACTTCTAAACTATTCAACAGATTTCATATTTATGTTGATCGAGTGGTTAAAACATGCATAGTTTGCACAATCTACGACTTGTGAAGGGGTTATGACAGTTAAAACAGCAAAGGCAAACGTTTAGCTTTCAAATGCAACCATTCAAACTTGGCTAAAATTTATAAAAATTAATAATTAAGACATTTTTTTTTCAGACAGTAATGGTTACGCAGGGGGGGGGGGTCGTTTCTGGAAAAAACACAACGCAAAGGGGAGTCGCACAATTGAATTGAATGAACAATAGGTGATTAGTGCCCATTGTTACGCTGACCAAAACAATTCACATAGAATATACAAGTTGTACCCTGTTCTACCCCGGGGCCGGAGACATGTACACAACACCTGTCAGCCACATCGCAGGTTGATCATCGATTCGTTGATCAATGGAAATCAATTTAGGTGTTTTCCTTTCAACTTTTTGCCATGTAAAATTAAAAATCGATCAATTGATCATATTCTTTATTTACATATTGAATTTAAATTCAGTTCTTATTTTCCATTCCATAAAATCAAAAAAAAATAAATATATAAAAATAAAGAGATTTCAAAACTTAATATTTTAATAAATAAATACATAAATGCATATTCAGGACAGGTAACTCAGGTGTGAAAATGACCAACAAAGTTCCGATTTCTGAGTTATCGTTTATATGAATGATAAATAGTCTGCTTTATTTTGTTTTGTAATGTACACAAAAAGGTTCCTTACAACGTTTTGTACCCAAATGTGTTAAAGAAGGAAAGTGTCTTTATTCTTCTTGATATAACAAGATCAAAGTAATGGGGAACAGACTTTATTCAAGATTTTTGACTCTCTTTCACGATCGTTATGAAGAATACAATATAATAACATACTTGGGTAGGAATAACATACTTTTAGTGTGCACATTTTTGCGCTTCCTATATGCATATATATTTTTCTACTAGTAAATGCAACAATTAATTACCTTATTTGTATTACTTAGCATGAAGAAGAACGACCGAACATAAAAAATAATCAGATTCAAATGTAGAAGGGGGTAGATTTTACTTTATATTTTAATTAAAAATTTTTACTTATATGTAATTAAACAGTGTCCGCATGAACATGGTAAATAAGTTTAACATCAGTGCTAAATTTTAAAACCACTGGATTTTACTGACACCAAAGAAAGACATGGGAAACGCTAAAAACTGACAAGATTAAAAACAATTAAAATACCCCAGACCTGCTTTAAACAAGTTTTACTTATGAGTTATCGATTATAACATCGAATCCTAGCGGCAGTTGAAAGGTCTATTGATATTTTTGGTAACAATGCCCACAGTGCAATTTAAACTTTAACACATTATTCAGCCCCAATACAATACTTTATCAACATAATTTTGAAGCATAATTCATAACATATATACAATTATTTCAAGAGATATTCCTCGTACAATTTATCTTAGGTTTTTAATAATAATTATTATAATAGCTATTTTAATACAGATCAAGGGTCATGAAGAGCAAACTTTGTTCGTAAGATTTTTGTCCTTTTAAAAAACGTTTGCTTTTCCTCTACGCATGGATAATTAGATGAAATTTTCAACAACAATTAAGGGATCTTTTAGACAAATTAATTTACAAAATTCAAAATAATGCTTTTTATTTGTAGTAACATTTTTGGTTACCAAGCAACAACAACACCATTAGAAAGTTTGTAGAAAAAAAATCAAGTTCTAAAAGACTGTAAATGTTTTCCTTCACTCTTTTATGAATAGGTCTATTTTATTATTTTTAAAGTCATTAAATTAAAATATGCTTTTTAATAAATGTATTTTTCTTTTACGAAGATGTAAAATTTTGTGTAAAACACCTTTAAACTGATATGGTTGCTAACAAGTCAACACATTAACCGGGAATGGACACGGAAAATTAAGCCCATATACATGCATTCAAAATGATCAAGAAGATTGTCATAATCATTGAGAAACATTGATGCTAAGACTTCCTGTCTTATGTCATTATAAACATTTACATTCAGCGAATATATCACACATAAAATATAAGTAAAATAATTCTAAAATTAGAGGAATATATCTATAAATCAAAATTGTACATTACATGTACCTCTCTTAATACTGTGAAATCACTAATTTTGGTGGGGGTATATTTTTGTTGTTACAAGGCATGGAGGGACCCACGAATACATTACCACTAAAAGCAAAATTCAACATGCATTACTACAATACATTCTCTAACCACGAAAACCCCGCCCATCCCACCCCAACCTCGAGAATTTGACCCCACAAAATTATGTGATTTTACAGTAATTTATTTAATTTTTTGTACTTATAAAGAAGTTTTATTGGAAAATTTAAATGTAAAAAATTTAATTAAAATATCATTTTTTAACACGTGAAAAGAACAAAAAATTCATCAAAGCAAAAATTAAATCATGAAAAGAAAATGGTTAGATTTAGTTTTCATGAATAACATTGTCGCCTTCCTATTTATATTGGAGAGACATAAAGCACTGATAGTCACTGATAGCTCTCACAACAAACATATATAAGGTGGAAAGTATTTTTGTTACGAGAATCGACATTTCTATAAAGACATGAAAATAAAGAAAATTGAATTATATTTTTATATTTTATACATTAAGCACAACGGCTATGTGTGGAAAAAAAACTATGCCTTTTTGCCACTGGTCAAGTTGACCGGTTAAAGAGTGTAGATTTTTGGTGTATGTTGTCAACTTAACATCTCTTTTCGAATTCCACGGGACATGTGAGGTAGTCAATAAATTGTACTCCTGCCTATTTTTGTTTACTCCTGTGAAAATTGACTGAATAAATTTATTTTATTCGGAATTGAGCCGAACATAATAAGATGAGATTCACAGTGAATAAAAACTAATGTTTGGTTGTAATACATATATCATCGTTTATCAGAAATGGAATGTTGAATATACTTGCATTTCGTTGCAGAAATAAAAAAAAATGAAAATCATATACCATATTTACTCTCACTTACAGAAAGATGGAAAAAATCGAAATATTTTTTTGCTGACTGTATACTACTTGTATTTTCTAAACAGTTAACATACCAGAAGAAGTACTAAGATGGGACTATGATGCTCGATGTAGATACGTAGCCTGCGCTAAGAAAGGGACCCAAACAATTCATAGAGCTCGTGCAATGATTGTTGGTTGTGCTGGAGCTGAAAAAACAACACTTTTAAGGCGACTGCAGCAACGAAGTTTTCTGGAGTTACGACAAATACACTCGACCGTAGGGCTGGAAGTGTATGACAACTTATTTGAAGTAGACAAAGATCGAAAGAGTTTAACAGGTTTGTATAACGTTTCCAGGATATTTTAATCTAAATATGATATTTTTATGAAATCACGTGTTTTACACTCTATTGTTTAGGATTGGAGGAAGCTGTTGATACAGAAAATAAGTGCTTACTAAGTGTTGTGGACTTTGCTGGACAGTGTGCGTATTACGCCTGTCATCAGGTCTATCTCAGCAGAAGAGCTTTTTATCTTCTTGTTATCGATATGTCAAAAAGATTTGATGAAAAAGTTGATAAAGCATTGTGTGAACAGGAAGGAACCATGTTTGCAGATTGGACATTCGGACGTAAGTGTTTTGTACATGTACCAATTGATTGCGTACAACAAAGTTATCTTTGTAGGTTAAATTTTGATTTAAGTTAAATGTTTTGAAATCATTATAAGCCATGTTAACAAAACAAAATTATTTTTAAATGTGAAAACAAAAATCGCAATTAAGTTTATCTCTGCGTTCAGTATTTTAATATTTATATATTTCCATTTCTAATTATTTCTTTGTGATAACTGTTTGAAATTGGGGGCATTTATTCCTTGATAATTCTGCCGGAATGTAAATAGGCAGGTCGATAGGTCAGTAGCTAAGGAGGCCTAATACGCATGCAAATCTCGTGCGCGTCTGTCTCTGTGTCTGACGCTAAGGAGGCCAAATATGCATGAAAATCTCGTGCGGCTGCCTTTGTCTCTGACGTCAGTGTGCGAGGACTATTGAAATTGGCATGGAAGTCCTCGTGTAATTGAAATCTATTAGTCTACATTTTTAATGTCTACAATTTTATTTCAAAATTAAATGGACATATAAGGGATCATGTTGTTTTTTAGGGTATGCCAGGGACATCAACAATAGTGGGAAACATGGGATAATTTTAGCATAACGGGCGATGCAAATTATCCCATGTTTCCCACTATTGTTGATGTCCTGGCATACTCTCAAAACTAGACAGTGATTCCTTAATACCAATTCTACGTAAATATCAAAATGAGGTGGCCACGCGATGTCTTCGATTCAGCTAATTTTTTTCTTACTGAAACTTCAATGAATGAAAAGATTGACTATATGAAAGAAAGCATGGTAGTTTATCCGGTTGCCATGGAAACGGGACTAGAAGGTGTAAATTATAGTGGATTTTGCTATTTATCAATAATATCAAAAAAATATTTACTTGACAAAGCTGTTTATGTTCATATTTTTTTATATCCTTCATGACAATCAAAACTATGTAAAAAATAGCCAAGGTCACAAAAATTTTACAATTTCTAATTTTCTGATGCCTAAAAAGTGAATAATTAGTCCTTGTTACCTCCCTTGTTAGACTTAATATTTAAAGACTTTGACAAGTGATGTGAAAATTCTAGGAGGAAGATTTAGATTCAAGAAATGTTATTTTGCAAATATCATTTAAAACATTTATGGTTAAATGAAAAATAAACGTTTTATTACACTATAAAGTTGGTCTAAATGTGCTTTTTCTCTATCCGAGTTATTTCCCTTGTTGGAGCTCTTCGGCATTGAAGAATAGAAAATGTGTAAATTGTAAACAAAATGGCAGACAATGAAATCTGCAGTTTTTCTTCTTGTTTTGAAACATCTTGTTCAGGAAAATTCTACCTCAAGAGACTCAGAATTTGATGAAAAACAGTTGACAAAGTTGGGATAATCTTTACGAAAAGCCAAAGGGTTGATCTGGACATGATGAGTATTACACGTATAGCTAGCTACTTGTAGAAAAGAAAAGATGAGGAAATCAGGGTGGTATGGGGGCGAAGGCCGAGAGGATTTTAGCTGTTCCCTTCAAGATGTCTTTGAAATAGAGATCGAGAGATAAATGTAATGGTGTGGTAGTCCCCGACCGATCCCGATTACAATGTGTAAGTATTTTTTTTATTCATAATTCTATTCAGGTATCACATGTACCTGCATGGTAACCGGTAACTGGAAAAACCCGAAACCCCTGATTTTTGGAGAATACCCATACAGGAGGGGTGAAACCCCAATAAAGTGGTGGAAACCCCATAAAATTGAATGTAATGGGGTAATATAAGGCCTAAGGTGATGTTTAATTGAATGATATTGACATCCGTAAATTTTTATAGCCAATTTTTCCTCAGAATCGACGGGTTTCTTCTTGTCTTCATATACTGCACACCACGCCCGATCTAAATTCGCGATCGCTGAAATCGTTTCGAGTTATCCGTGGAAATAATTACTGTAATCTTGATCAATATGAATATTATATTATGTATGAATATTATTTAAAAAAAATATTTGTAAGGAAACCTTAGAATATAAAAGAAGTATGAAATATTTATCATGTTGAAAGACATAACAATGCAATGTGTAATTGAAATTTTTTTTAATGAATTTAACTACTCCATTAATCAAGAAATAAAGTCATTTTTATAAATTCCGATCATTTATAATATGTAATTAAATTAAATTAATTAATGAATGAATCTGTTAATGTAATTATTATAATGAAAAACATTACAGTGAAATTTTTAATTGAATGGGGTTTTTTTTTATGAATTTAACTAGACCATTAATCAAGGAATAAAGTAATTTTTTTCAATTCGAATCATTTATAACATGTAATTAAATTAAATTAACTAATGAATGAATTTGTTAATTTATTTTATTTTTAATTAATTTTCTTCTATGTTTAATAATTAATTTTTAAATTCAGTATTCATTCATTATTATTTTCCAGTTACTAATTTTTTGTTTTAATGTTTTTGGTTCTGTTTTTTTTTTTTTTTTGGGAGAGTGTGTTGTTTTTTTGTTGTTTTTTTTTTGTTTGTTTTTTGTTTTGTTTTGTTTTGTTTTTTAAGCAAGTAATAGAAAAAATATACTCATTGATATGAGAAAGCAACATGTATCCATTACAATGAAATTATTAGAATCCAGGTCTATGAAAAAAAAAAGTCTGATAAAAAATAATAAAAATGTGCATGTTGCATATGTGAATTCTTGTACAGTTGGTATTGTAACATTACTTACTTACTTACTTAGGCCTCTTCGTGCCAGGTGGCACATAAGGCAGCCACACAGTCTCTCCACCCAGTCCTATCATTTGCTTTTCTTTCTACTTCTTTCCATGTCATCCCTATTTCTTTTAGCTCTTTCTCTGATGTTCTACGCCATGTTGTTTTTGGCCTGCCCCTTTTTCTCTTGCCGTCTGCTGTCCAAAATATGCTCTCTCTTGTGATGTTATGATGGTCTTTCCTGAGCACATGTCCAACCCATCTCCACTTTCTTCTTACAATCTCCACCACTATGTCTTCCTGTCCTGACATCTTCCTGAATTCGTTGTTGGAGACTATTTTTGGCCACCTGATCTTAAATATGGTCCGTAGGGAACGATTAACAAACACTCTCAGTTTCCTTGCGAGGTCTTTCCGGAGCTTCCAGCATTCTGATCCATATAATAGTATTGATTTTACGTTACTATTATATATCCTAAGCTTTGTCCTAGTGGTCATGTAGGAGGAGGTCCAAACTGGTTTTAAGATGGCAAACACGTGACGGGCTTTGTTGATTCTTGATGTAATATCCTCGACAGTACCTCCAGATGTTGTTACAGTGCTGCCTAGGTATGTGAAGGTGTCTACATCTTCCAAACTCTCTCCATTGACTTTTACGGGGTTGTTATTCTGTGATTCTCATTATTTTGGTCTTGTTGAAGTTGATGTTTAGTCCTAGACATCTAGCTGTTGTATAGAGTTTGTTTGTTTCTCCTGGATTTGCTGATAGGTGGATGAGATGAGACATAGGTCATCGGCATAATCCAGGTCATCCAGTTTGCTGTCCATTCTCCATCTAATGCCATTTTTCTTATCTCTGGTGGATTCTCTCATGACCCAGTCTATGGCCACTAAGAAGAGTAGAGGTGATAACATACAGCCCTGCTTGCCCGATGTAACTGGGAACCACTCTGTTTTGGCATTGTTAACCATCACACTACACTGAAATCCTTCATGCAGTACCCTGATGATGTCAATGATCTTCGGAGGTAGACCATACAATCTCAAGAGCTTCCATAAACTTTCCCGATGTACACTATCAAACGCCTTTTCAAAGTCCACAAAGTTAAAGGTATAGAGAAGACTGCCATTCTATTGACTGCTCTATGATGTTTCGTAATACGAAAATTTGGTCACAACATGATCTTCCTGGTCTAAACCCTGCTTGCTCCTCTCTCAGTTGTGCATCGACTTGTTGTTTTATTCTGTCTAATAGCACTCTGGTAAACACTTTACTGATTGTTGGTAAAAGTGTTATTCCACGCCAGTTGTTGCATTCTGATTTATCTCCTTTCTTTGGTAGTTTTATAATCAGTCCGTTTTTCCACTCTGTTGGTACCATGTTGGTTGTCCAAATGTCTTGGAACAGATTATATATGACCTTTGATATTACTTCTATGTCTACTTTAAGTAATTCTGCTGGTATGTCATCTACTCCTGCAGCTTTGTTGTCTTTCATCTTTCTGATGGCCTTCTGTATTTCCTCCACATTGATTTCCTCCACACTGATGTCAAGTTCTACTATGTTGTTGTTGACTTCAATATCTGGTGGTTGAATTGGGGTTTCCTCTTTTCAGAACTGATCTAAAATGCTCTGTCCATCTTTCCATGATGTCACTGTCCTTGGAAAGGATGTTGCCATACTGGTCTTTTACGACGTTTGAGCTGTTGGTGAATTTGCCGGACATCAGTTTGGTGATCTAATACAGTTCTTGAATGTTTCCAGTCCTTGCTGCTTCCTCAGCTCTACTCAAGTTATCTTCTATAAGCTTCCGTTTGTCTCGCCGCGCACTTCTTTTGACCTCTTTATCCTTTTCCTTGTAGGACTTTGATAGGGATTCCTGCTCTGAGTAGTCTATGCAGTCTAGGATCTTTGATTTGATCTTCTTTCTCTCTGATATAAGAGTCCATGTATCAGATGTTATCCACTCCTCTTTCACACTTTTCCTAAATCCCAATGTCTCAGTCGCTGCTGAAGCTAGACAATCCCTGATGTTATCCCACTTTTCGTCTATGTTGTTTCCTTCGTCCATCGTCTCTAATGCAGAAAATCTATTCCTCAGCTCCAGCTTAAAGGCTTCCTTTATCTCAGGTTGTTTAAGTTTGTTCACGCAAACTTCCTTCGTCCTTGCACTTTCCTCACTGCTCTTAGCTTAAGTTGTATTTTGGCACGTAAGAGTATGTGATCACTGTTAATGTCTGCACCTCTGTACGTCCGGGCATCTATGACTGATCTCCTCCACCTCTTGTTGATCATGATGTAATCTATCTGATTCTTTGTTCTCTTATCTGGCGAAATCCAGGTATACTTGTGAATGTCCTTGTGTGCAAAGATAGTGTTGCAAACCACTAACCCATTCATCTCACAAAAGTCCATTAGGCGCTCTCCGTTTTCATTCATCTGTCCCATACCATGTACTCCCATGCACGCCTCCCTGCCGGTGTTATCACTTCCAACTTTTGCATTCATGTCTCCCATTACTATCACCATATCGTGTTTTGGAGTTCGATGTAATACACTCTGCAGTTGATTGTAAAAGATATCTTTCTCTTCATCATTTGCATCATTAGTTGGTGAGTAACACTGAATCACACTGAGCTTGATGTGTTTCGAATCGAACCTAGCATATAGTATTCGGTCGTTCACTGGATACCACTCTATCAATGTCTTTGCTGTTTCCTTGCTCATCATTATTGCAACGCCGCTCTGGTGATCTTGATCCTTCCCTGAGTATATGATGGTCTCACCATTACTACAAGTCGTTTTTCCAGAGCCTGTCCATCGTGCTTCACTTATACCCAGAATGCTGATGTAATATTGCCTCATCTCTTTAGCAATCTGTGCTGCTCTGCTTATTTCAAACATAGTCCGCACATTCCACGCTGCTATGTTGATGTTCTTGTTTGGTCTCAGAAGGTAGCTTCTCAGTCTAGTAGTTCTCTGCTGATTTTCCTGACTAGACGTCATGCTTTCGTTTCCGATGTTACCCACTGGAGAACCAGGTAATACGTTTCTCTGTGTGTCTGTTTCTGTAGTCAGTATTTACCACAGAAGGGGTGACTGGCCCCATGCTGCAGGCATAGCCCCGTTAGCCGGCATTATCCGTTTCCACCTCCTACGACGGGGACGTGGGGCTTAGACTTCAGGAGGCATTGTAACATTATTATGAGAATATTATTCACACCTCAGCTAGCTCTGTTGTTTGTACTGGAGTAGACAAGCACCCCTGTGTGTGTACATGCACTATATACACAGCTGTTGACACTTTGTCAACTTGATAATTAACACCTTTTGTTTAAACACCTGGGTTCCCAGCTAGT